GGGGGGGGGGGGGGGGTACGGCGACTCACCCCCACGCCTTGGCGCCCATGTCGGTCAAGACGATGGTGGGGCCGACGGTGTTGCAATTGATGTCGTGCTTGGACCACTCCGCGCTCATCACCTTGACCCCGAGAAAAAAAACAAAACAAAAGGGACGGACCGACCGGGTGAGAAAAGAGGAAGGAGATAATTTATGCAGGCACGCATCGCTTTGAAGTCAAGCGATCATTTCCTGTACTCGTACACAGGTTGCTCCCTCAACTCATACCGACGCTCCTCACCAGTAGCGGTTCAGCATAGAACAGCCAGAACGAAAAGAGCAGACCGAGGCCTGTGAGTAGCATGCGGCTCTACTCTTGTCTACGAAGATTTCACACCGCGTTGCGTCAAGTTTACAAAGTGAGGCCAACCAAAAACGAAACTCCTCTCAAATACGAGTACAACTTCCACACGCGAAAGAATCGACACCATCTCGAAACGGACCGATTGGATACAATTTCCACGATCCATTTTGCCCTTGACTCTTTCTGCTACTGCTGTGCCGCTTACTCGTCATTTGATCTGCAGATATTTGAAAACACTGCGTACCGGCTGAGTACGGAAAGCTCTCGCCAAGCGCACCAAGTGTGCCACACACCAAGCTCTCATTGCAGGTCATCATGTAGTATTGGATCCAACCTGTGGCAATCTAGAAATGCCTCGTTAGATGCCCACCCTTTTGTTCCTCTCTGGCTTTCACTGGGGTCAACCTTTTGTCTGGCTCACCCTAGTGAGGCCGTTGATGGCGGCCTTGCTGGTGCAGTACGCCGCGTGGTCGTGCAGTGCGAAGAGGGCCGCCGTGCTCGAGACGCTGACGATCTTTCCTCCCTTCCCGCGCGCGATCATCCTCTTGGCACACTCCTGGGACATGATGAAGGGTGCCCTGACGTTCACCTGATCCACAAGTGGGATAAACAGTCAGATTGTCTCCTGCCACAATTCATGTTTTACCAATAGATTGTGAAAGAACACCTCCCTGGAAATTAATTTTCAGGTCTCCCGACATCGGTTTTGTTCACGAGCTTCCCACTCTACTCTCCCGCCCCTCCCACTCCCGCAACTCTTCTCTGGCCCTCCTTTTAATAGACGAAGCATGAACAATGGCAGGAAACCCGGCACCGCTCACACAAAAACAACAGTACGAACGAGGTCCCCTGGTGAGGCTTGCTTTGCTAAAGCGCCGACAACATAACCACCACAGTCACAGCGATATCTTCGAGCCTTTCCATTGTGCCTTGCTCAACCGCCGCCCGTTAACAAACCACCGAACTTCGACATGCGAGAGATACTACTGTATCACGCTTTGCGAGGGTTTGATGATGGATACATTACACCAATCGCACCATGAACATATTCGAAAGGCCAATCTGTCACAGGTATTTTGATGCTAGTTTCTCACGTTCATGGTCCAGTCCCAGTCTTCCACGGATGCCTCAAGGATTGGCGCGATACTGGCCACGCCAGCTGGCAAACGAGCGCGCAGGGGGGGGGGTTAGCACCGTGAACAAACAAGAAAAAAATATCCATGTAACACCGCTTCTTAATGGAAGCAGCAAGTTGCAAAAAGCTGGAAGTCATTTTGCAACTTTGGTCGGGACCTTTCGTCCATGCAACTTTTGGTGCACGCTCTTCATGGGACGAAGAAAGCTTCGTGCGCGGGACTGGCGGAATGCGGAGGCGTGGTCATGTTTTTTTAGCAACGGCGAGAAGCAGGCACACGCCCTTCACATCACACCGCGAAAAAAACGGCTAGAGCGTGCGGCAGAGGGTAGTTGCAACCTTTTTTCTCCACACTCGCGATACCCCAAGGCATCTATCTAACCTGGTACCAGAAAGATGCCGGGTAAAGCTAGCTCGCTCGGGGTGGCATTGCTGTTGCTATTGCCTCCTCTTTGAAAAAGTTATCGCTGGAAAACGAACCACAAGCACACAATCCCCGCGAACTTGAACCAACCGTTCGCTGACGTGGGTATTGTGGGGTCAATCAAAACTTTTCCCGACGCGCACGATACCCCACGACACCAAACCTTGGGCATGGACGATAGAGCAGAGAGCTACATCCCACCGAGTGGTCTTGCTACTGCCGTTGCCCTCTCCTTCGGAAAGTTATCGGTGGATAACCAAACCCGTCGCGGACAAAAACACCGAACTACAACTAACCGCTCGCGGCCGTTGACAATCGTGCAAAGAACAAACTCTTTTCCCGGCGCATTCGGCACCTCACGGCGCCAAATCTTCGCGTTGCCCAACAGTCCATGGCATCACCTCCTTCCAGATACCAGCCATGAGTAAATCGTCAAGTATTCGTCGAGATATCCGTGATCATGGCCTTCCCACAATCGAAGCTGGAGCGGGTCTACGTGTGTGGTACCGTTAGCAGCTGGACATGGATTGACAGGTTGTGCGCTGCGCAGTGTTTGTTCGACACCTTCGTCGCAGAACCGTCGAGAAAAAAATTGCAGACCTTAACCTCCAGATTGCAGCTTGTTGCTCCCATGCTGAGCGTACATGAGGAAAGTTGCGAGAAGAGTTGCAAGACTTCAGCTTTTCTCGCAACGTCCTGCTGCCATAAAAAGCTGTGTTTTGCGTCACACAACCAAAGACGAATCAGTAAGACAGCAGTGATCCGTAGACAGATAATGAAAACAAAGGAGGATTCAAGAGGTATTTTTCGCGCTGATAACAGTAATAATATGACAGAGACCACTGTGAATGAGCGTTGGCTTAGTCCGTCAGATGGATCGACTGAAACATCCATTGTCGCAGAAACTGTGTGGAATATTTCTAGATCCGGTCTTTGGGATACGATGATACATTTTGGCGACCAGGACGACAAAATAGGTTGAAATTGTCGCTCAAGGAAACTAAATGTAAAATATATCGGTGGTTCTTGAGGGCGAGATCAAATGCTGAACATGTGTTAGTCTTAAGAATCGACGCGTTGGACCTGTCCAACTCTGAATCCAAGGCTTCGTAATTTTGTATGCGAACGTGTACGCTAATAATTGTTTTAACCGCGAGAAGGGCGAGCCGTCCCTTTCCCCCTTCGACCGTGAAGTCAAAAGCGTTGACGCTCACGACTCAATCGTTTTCCTACAGAAAATTGCGGAGGACTCAGTCTAGAAATGAACTGTCTATGATAACATATTTACACGGGGTTACCCGGTACGTGTTTTTTAGGCGTACACGTTTTCGGCGGTATTGTCATTTGGCGGTATATGTTTTGTCGGTAGGCGGAAATGCGTTTTTTGGCGGTATCGACTTACGCGGTGGTGGTTAACAAAAAATGAATTTAGTTTTTCGGCGGTATTGCCTTATGGCGGTAACAGTTTTGGCGGTCGGCGGAAATGCGTCTTTTGGTGGTATCGACTTTGGCGGTGGCGGTAAAACAAAAAACGGCGGTATTTTTCGGCGGTAATGCCATACTGCGGTATCGTGTTGGCGGTTAGCGTTTTCCCGTTTTTCGGCGGTATTGACTTTTGGCGGCGGCGGTAAAACGGCGGTGTTGATACCTAGTAAACCCTTGGACACGTGTGTACGTCGCGTGCTGTACCCCATACATCCCTGTCTCCCTGTCCACGCAGTACATCAAAGGGCCCGAAAACGAACTCGAACCAAACCCCCAGAACCGAAAGAAGCACGAACAAACGACACTGAAGAAATAAGGCGGAAAAAAAAAAAGTCACGCCTGGAATCGAACTTGTGACATGCACTTCTGTACTTAACATGAGACAAAGGTCTCTACCCACTCACCCGTGGGCGGTAATGCACCTATATGGCGGTAACAGTTTTGTCGGTCAGCGCTAATGCGTTTTTCGGCGTTATCTACCTTGCGGTGGCGGAAAAACAAACAAACAACGTACAGTCGTCCCCGCTTTAAAGACACTCTTCTTAAGGAAACTCCCCGCTACAAGGACACATTTTTCCCCAGAACATGGTGCCCCGCAGATGTACAATAATATAGGGGGGTAGCGTTTCCACTATGCGGTCCCCCCAAAAAATTTTGCTGGGGCAGCAAAACTGTAAGGCATTGTAACATCGACAGCGGTCTGCTGCAGCCCGCACTACTGCGTGTGGGTATGGAGAGATTCCTCCCANGCCCGCGTTTCGGTGGTAGAGGGAAATTCAAAAAAGTGTACAGTATTGGAGTACAGCAGCAGTAGTGTTGCGGCCTTCAATTGACGTGTTGTCGCAGTTTTTAAGCAGCACAATTTCGTGGTCGCATTCCTGCTTCAAATGCGCGTATTTTGACACATGTTACACCTCCATTGACCCCGGGGACGGTGAGTTAGTGGCCCCGGAATCCTAAAGACACTTCCCCGCGTTAAAGACACTCCAAAAAAAACGCGGTGTGTCTTTAAAGCGGGGTCGACTGTAATTTTTTCGGCGGGAATGCCAGACAGCGGTATCTTGTTGGCGGTTGGCGGTTTCCGCGTTTTTCAGCGGTATCGACTTTGGCGGTGGCGATAAAACCGAGAAACGGCGGTGTACCGGTACCGCCCACCACAGGCGGTTTATATCGAGTAAACCCTTGCATGTTTATGAACAGACCACCGGGATAGACCATGCACAACATTTATAAGGGGCACTGCTGCTGTAACTGTCTGTGTCATTTTGGGAATTTCAAGTTCAACCCGAGTCATCGGAAAGTGCTGGCGGAGGCGGAAGGGAAGCCCGAACACAACGAAAAATGCCAACACGAGTGAGCGTGAATTTGTGAGGGGGCGACCTCTCCACCCACCCTGCCCATTACTGCTGCTGTACAAATAGTTATCACGTGGTACAGAAGACCTACCTGCTAATACTTAATAGTGGACATGTTAGGAAATACAAATACTGACACAGAAAGTGTACCCAACAGAGATTTTACGACGGTCGAACGCATACCACTTACGTACGAGGTCCACTATTTAAGATCGACCGCCGCGGCGACCGACTTGTTCCGGGAAACTTTTCCTAAATATCAAGCGTCGACGCACAGCGGGCGGGACATGTATAACGCCATGCACTCCACAGGGTGAGAAGCCGGGAGAAACGCTAGCCCTGTCCTGCAGAAAATACCGCTCTCGCGGGCGTCTTGTGCGTTCATCAAAGGACAGGATTCGCCGCGGCTTGTTGTTTTCGCGGAAAAAAAAAAAAGGTCTTCGCAGCAGACGGAACCTAAAAATTGCTTCCGGAAGAAAATCAGCCATGATGCTGCTCGCTCTGGATCACATCTGCTGTCACTACGGTCCGGCGATGAGCCACCCGCATCGCGTTATCCCTTGCATGATAAGTGACAAAAGCATGGCTTGCACTCGGGCGGTACGGGCGTATGGATTTGTGTGTGCTGCTCAGCCGTGCTTTTAGAGCTCTTCGCGTGACTCCGAAAAAGAGCGGCACGTACCCAGAATAACATAAGCGCAGCCCTCTCCACACAGGCGTCGTAGATTTAGACCGTGATGGCGAGCAGCATTCCGGGGGGAGACGCCATGCTTACTCCACCTGTGTCCTTACCGGTGCACAGCAGTGCAGGCCCTGAGCTCCGGCGTGGTAGATCCGCGCAATTACTGCCCGCGGTAGCTGTGATTGTATAATTGTTGACTCACCGTTGTTGACCAGGATATCCGCACAGCCGCCGGCCCACTCGTTGGCCTCCACGGTCGCCTTCCGGATGCCATCCGTGGTCGACAGGTCGATGGAGATGAAGGTGGTCTTGTCGACCGGAAGCTTCCTCTCCTCCAGGACGGGGACGAGCTTGTCGTACTTGGAGCGGCTCCTCGCAAGCACCGCCACGGAAGCCCCAGCCTGGAGCTGTGCACGAGAGCGCGCGCGAGCGAAGGTAGAGAGAGAGTGAGAGCCACAGGAACATGCGGTAGAGGGAGAAGGAAGGAAACCACGCGATGCTTTATGTTCCTCGATTGCCGTGATGCAGCCTCGCTGCTGCTGCTGCTGTGCACACAGCTCAACACGCACGCGCACCAAGCACCGACACAGCGCGCACAGTTATACCCCCGGCCCCCCTGCCGCTGGCCGAAGCCACAAAAGAACACAAAACAGCAGTATGCTTAGGCGAAGAAGAAGCCTCCGCTGCCGCTCACCAACGCAATTGTGATCGCGGCGCCGATTCCCGCGCTTCCTCCCGTGACAATGGCCGTCTTGCCCTCGAGCATGTCGCTACGCCACGGGAAGGGCGGCTCTTCGGGTGCTTCTCTTCCGGCAGGCATGGTGTTTTGGTACAGACGAGACGGTAGAGAGGACCAGAGAAGGGGAGGGGAGGGGAGGCTGGGAGGAGTGCGGGAGGTGGGGCTGCTTTTGATCCTCGGATCGCGGGCGCGGAGAAAAAGGCACACACCCCGAGAGCGGGGCAATACGGAAGATTACGATTTGTAGGAGTGGTGGAGTCGTGCGCAACTTTCACAGCAAAACACAAGCGCAGGCACAACCCCCAGGCGGGCCATCTAGGGCGGCGGCGGCAGCGCGACCATGGAAGGGGGGATATGAGGCTACAGACGACGCTAGACATCAGTCATGTCTGACCTGAAACGACGCGACGCCAAAAACTCGTAATCTCGGGTGAACCCGACAGCTTCGGCGGGATTTCATCGGGAAAACTGTCATGTTTCGAGACGCCGGCAGGCACGCGTAGTTGGCACGATGAAAGGTTGTTGTATCTTATGATGATACACGTACGTGATGTATACCGAAGGGTACCACGTGACCACACGGACGGTTAAGATTGGGTGGTGTTGATCGACCAGTCAACCTGTTTGATTTTTCTTGCACGGTACAGCAGTAAACAACACTATTTAGTTTTTGAAAAACAGGAGATAGTCCAAAATCTAGGATCAGCGTGCGGAGAGAACGGTCTTGTGCGGGTGTGTACATGTACACGTATGCATACAGGAACATGTTTTTGCCTACGGATGTGCATGTATGCAGCAGCTCTATGCTGCATCTCTCTACATGTAATATTTATGTTGTTCTCGTGCTTGCCGTCACCCATTAAATGCACCCATCAAACAAAACCCCTTCAGATCTGCATGGAAGATATAGAGTTTAGACTGTACTTCTTTTGTTCCTCTTTGCCGCACTCATCACTCATCACCCCTACACACACACACCACGACCTACTTTTTTCGTACGTATGGGTGATTGTCTCCTCGCGGTGTGGGCGTGGGGGGGTGTCCTTTCCGCTCCCATATACCTCCAACATACGCATATTCTCTCTGCACAACAGTTCGACGAACAACTTGAGAAACTGCTGTGCTTTGTAAGACACAACAGAGCGGGAGGGAAAGCGGCCGGTGGCGGTTCCAGCAACGTGTTAGAAGACTACATTGTCGACATACATCCGTACAACATATGCATACATGCTCTCGCAGAGGCATGATGTCATCATCAGCGGAGTCCAGCACAAGAGAACGAGGGCAGTCGATCGTCGTGAGGGAGATTCGCAGTCCAGGCGGCGGTCGCGCTGGCGGGAACATTTCCGAGATAGCATTTTCAGCCGACGGTGCTCATCTCCTCACCGGAGCGAAGAACTTTGCCGTTCGTATCTGGGGTACGCGCTCAGGCGAGGTGGAGTTGCTCGCACCTCCTTTGGTGAGCTTTCCAATCTGTTAGACACCCTTGCATTATAAAGCGGTAGGTAGGTGTGGAGGTGACCGTTGAAAGGGTCCCTGTCTCCCCAACGTTCGATTGCGTGTGTCAAGAGTATCAATTAGAGACTATCATCAACCATCCTTGAAGAGAATTACGCAAGGTGTCGTCGGAAACTACTTGGACGAACACTTGGACGAACTTTACCTTACATCATGGGTTCGGGGGTGGGATCTGTCACATGTACGTAAGTATTGGGATAAACATACATTACATGGCTCGAACAACGTTGTTCTCAACTGATTTCAATCAGCTTTCGACCTCAACCCCGCACCCCTATCACCCCAAAAAATATAGGGCACTTTGTACTGTACACTACGTTATCACTAAGAGTCCCTCCCCTCTTGCATGCATATGCTACCCAATGTCGATCCCACGACCTGCCTATGTGACACAGCACAGATGAGGTATCGGTCACGGCCCTCATCTCGGCACGGCTTCGCCCGCTCCCACAAGGTAGGCCTTGTGATACACGAGCCGTTTCCATTGCTGACGACGCTCCACCGCACCGGTCGCTCGAGCTGACGAACAGGCGGGGTCCAACGAAGACGGGGGTTACCACTCTGGGCACTTGAGCTGCGACATCGTCCTGCACCACCCATCCAGGGGCATGTTCATGGCGGCCGGAGGGGGCACGGGCGGGGTCCTCGTATGGGACTGCTATGGGCCGAGCACGGGGAGCGACAGCAGTAGCAGCGGCGGCGGCGGCAGCAGCAGCAAGGAGGGCCTTGGGACGCGCCCAAACTCGGACCTGCGGAACAACGGCCACGAATACGGGGTCCCGGTGTGTCACCTCGCCGCTTACCCGGACGGGAGCTTCTTCGTCAGTGCTGACACCACCACGTTGAAGGCACGTAGCTGTACTGCCTCGTAGTCGGTTGCAGAGGAAGGGGCGCGCGGACAAAAAAACTGGGAGCGATACTGTTGGAGTATCTTCGTCAGTTAGAGTAGCAAAGTCATTCGAATGCACGCACCCGGATGGTTGTGAACGGCATCGATTGTCTGGTAGCCAATAAGACAGGATGACCAGGCCGTCTGCAAAATAGTGCCAAGCCGCTCGAGGGGGAATTGACAACGAATAACAATGGGACCCGACAAACTGCCCCCCCCCCCTCCCTCCTAACTCTTGGAGCCGATCTCCCCGCTCGTCTGTGCGTATGTGTGTCTAGAGCCTGATGCGAGATGGTAGAGTATTTCGGTGACGTCGAAGGTACTTCGGTGACGCCGAAGGGCCAACGTAGTGCATTTACCCCACCGTACTTGGGAAATTCGCCAACCGAAAGCGTCGTATCATGCATTTGGAACGCGCCTCTTTGTCTTTTCCGCACAGAGAGAGGTATTTCAGTAAGGAATAGTGGAGTGGCGTGCTCTCTCTGCTCGCGTTCTCGGCTGGCAGTTGATCACATCACACATATGCGTAAGCTGTGTTTTCTGTTTCTGCTTCTGTTTCGCGTGTCTCAGTTCTGGTGTGCGACAGACTTCACCTGTAAGAGGACCATCCGGAGCACCTTCGAAGTAAAGATTCTTATGGTGTCCGCAAGAGGCAAGTTCGTCTTCGTCGCGGGGGAGAAAGGCGGTGGCGGCGGTCGTAGGACGAAGCAGCGCGCGGTCGTCGCCGTGTGGGACGGTCGCAAGCGCGGCAAGATTTATCCCGGGTTCGGCGGAGAGAGAGACCCCACGCGGCTGCTGACGGGGCACGGAAGGCCAATTCGATCTCTGTACACACCACACAACCCGGGTAAGCTTGCCGAAGAGGCGCGAGGGTGAGCTGCTCTGTCTGGCGGCTACGTCTGTCGTAAGCGGAGCAACATCCAAGAGCCTCCTTTTCTTCGGAGCGTTAAAGTTTGCGTCATCCGTGCGGTTGAGTTGAGACTGGCGAATACGGGTGATGCTGGACGCAGAGCCCGATGCTGGTCACAGAGCCCCTCGATGTACCAAGGCGTGTTTCGAGACGCATCCCTCGTTGGCCTCTTCTCGTCGCGTGCCTCGAGGTTGCGAAGATTGACTTTCTTGTTGGTTCGGGCAAATGGTGCGGCATCCCTATCAATGTCAAGTTTCTTGTGTTTTGGTGTCGTAACGGTTTCTGCCAAACCTCTCTTGGTACTTGCCAACAGCGCCCCCCCCAAAAAAGCAACATGAGGGATATGCATATATTTAACAGCGCGTGGGAATCACTTCGGTATTTCTTTTTGTTTCATCGTTCTCCATAAGATGTCCTGGTTACGACGGCGCTCGACGCGACGGTCAAAATGTGGGACGTCCCGACCGGCACGTGCACGAAGACCATCTGGAGCAAGGGGGGGCTGCAATCGCCGCTCTCGAATGCGGGTCTGGTGAATCGCGGCGCTTGGCTTCTGACGTCTTACGACGATGGATCACTTCAGGTGCGTGCGCGTGTGTGTTTCGTTGCCTGTACCATCAACCATGACGATGACCGGCTGATGGACGACAACAGGTTAGGAAGGTTTTAGGTCAAAACCTTCGGAACTTGTAGTAATCGTTCGTGGACACCGCAAAACTTTCGCAACATATATCTCGACGAAGGCTAGACTTGCTCGTAGCGTACAATTGGCGCTAAAGTCCACCACAATCTCTTTGAGCGCACGTGCGTCGATGTATGTGTCATCATTGATACGCCCCCCGTCGAGAGGACCATGAGTGTGGGCAGTGCATCGGGAGGGAATGAACGGTCGTCCAACGCCGAACACATCATCACGGATGTGTTGTTTAGTAGCTCCACCCCTTGTATCAGCTTCTAGCGTCGCTTCCCTTTGCGCGACTCGCGGGTAGAAGCAATAGGTTGCTCGGCTAGAGCAACCATCGACACATGGGGCTGTTGTCGTGACGTGGGCTGTTGAGACTTATTGTTTTTCATTATTTCGTTAAACATTCAACTGCTATCAATGGACTACCGATTAAACTGCCCTGGTTGGTGCTTGCAATGCCATCAACGTTGCTCGCGCAATGATTGGAACGACATCAGTTTCTTGCCCCCCCA